GGCGGCGTGGATGTGTTAACAAAAGATGGCTGTTAATGTTGTAGATCGTAGACGCTTGCGACTTTTGTGGCGTTCTCTTCGTTTTAGCGGCGGCCATCTGGTTGCTTTCTTAGATCTTTCTTCCCACTTTTACTGCTCTTGAGGTCGATCGATCTTGGGCAGGGTCCGCCCGGATTCTCTGTTTAATTTTCGGATGCTTGAGAGAAGTTTTCAGGGTGCATTTGTAGCGTAATTTTGTCCCTCTCGGTGAGTACCCATTGCGACATCGACGCAGAAAAGTTATCTGCGTAGACACAACTTGGCGTGATGTAGCCGCCTCAACGTAGTTGCAGTCGCTTAAGCATGGCGTGGATGTTGAAGATCCCGGTCCGTTTTAGGACTTCCACGTCCGGCACCCTGTCCTGCCACTTCAACTTTAGTACCTTCCGAAACAGTTAAGGTTGAAGCGATTGAGTTTCCTGGCTTGGTCGACGTAGACAGTCCATTTCTCCATACTGTGGTGTAGTTTGAGTTTGTTTTTAAAATGAAGTCCTCAGATATTCAGGAATGAAACATGTTGGTAGTCAAAATTCTGACTGGATTTACTGATCCAGCTAACCAATTATTGCCAATAGAGGAGAATATCCGAATTCCAGGAAGCAGCTCAGACCCCCCACCTTATCTGCGCATGTCTCGGACTTGTTTATGATTACCTATGACTAAGGATTCCCGGCGGAATCCGAAACGTCAGGACAATAAAACTCTTGTTCCAGTGATCGCTTCTTCTTCTTCTGAACCAATTATTCTTCGACATTCCTGGAGATTTGCTGTCTAGGTGTGCGAATTTTTTGACAGGATTGAATTGAGCTCCGCTGACAGGAATGTGGAGACCTCTGTGGTCTGTGTCTGGCGCTGGTTGAGGTATGACCATCGTCTTCTCTGTGTTCCTGGCTTGCACAGACGCAGGCTATGGGGTCTGTGCTCATTTTCTTGGCTGCTTCCGTCGTTTTATCATGTTCATAGTCATCCGTCAACAGTAGGTCACCGATACTGGTATGGGATACTCTTGAGCGTGCCTGCATGCACCGTTCATTGAAGAGTCGTCTATCAAGTCTGTAGGTCATGTTGTTTACGGGCTGCTCCTAATGCCAGGTATCCGTCAGCATACCGTAGAACATGAGGCTGAAAGTAAAAGCGAATGCACAGCGCTTCTCCATCCCACCGGTCATTTCGAAGGCTTCCGAGCCTGTCCCACTGTTCGTGACGTGAGCCATAATACCGTTATGCAATTGACGCACCACGTGCGTGAAACTCTCCGAACATGCAACATAATCTAATTTGGATAGGAATGGAGTGCACGAAGGTCATCATCTTTCCCAAGTAGACTTCAGGCAGTCGGCTTCAACAATGTTGTCTTTAAATCGGGCATACCACTACGAATGACTTGACTTGGAAGTGTAATACCTTTATGCTGGTGTGACAGGCCCGGTGAAGTTGACTTTTAGGACCAGATTACACATTTGAAGGTGTCCTTCGTAAGCATCAGCATGTTGCAGCGTCTAAGTTAGCATATGGGTCACCGTTAATGAAGCGTCATGTTTGGTTGCCTGAACAATATTTCAACTAAGTACATGAGCACTGTCATTACAGTACCTATTTGTTTATTCAAATAACTTTTTGTGATTTTCAGGTCTCTCGGCTTCTCCAACTGTGTCAGAAAAAGGGTTCGAACGGGGCCTATTACCTAGACAGTAATAGGCAGTGTGCTATCATAAGTCTTGGTGTTTACTTGGTAGAATCCAACTTCAAGGTAAGATGTGCACCAACGCTGTTATACGCTCTTCCTTTCCTCCAGTTTGGTGACAAAATACTACCGGAACTTCTCAACATTCAAAAAAAACTAGCAAAATGTACCATGCCGATAGATACAGTACCGAAAAGAACAAAATGTAAGTTGTATTTCTCCATTTACTTCCTATTTTCAGCTCTTCCGGATGCTGAATGCTTCGCGTTTTGCCTCTCGAGCCTCCTTACCCAGGTGGCTATGCTCCAACCATCCCATTTTGATAAAGTACGTCTCCTTTTGTTGCTCATTGTCTCCTTTTTGGAGAGCTGCTCTGTTTTTCCGAGGAGTTCTTTCACACAAGCAGCGGTAAAGAGTCTTCTTTTACGGACATCCTAGCTGCTTTGGATACTTAACCCTTAAAACCTCAGAGGCGGAATTAAGTATCAGGACGAGTGAACGGGTCGCGA